AAAACTCCCGAATTCTTCATGACTTAATCTTCCAGCTTCTTTTCCTATTTTATTATCTCGATTTGCTTGTTTCTACCGTTGTTCATGATTATTCGACATTTTTTCAACAGTTTAATATGCAGCATTAACAGGACTTTTTACGGTTCAGTAACGTCATTACTATTTTCTTCTTCTTCTTCTTCTTCTCATTATTATTATTATTATTATTATTATTATATAATACTGGTATCTGGGGGTGGTGCAGTGGTTATTGGTTTGGAGTGAGAAGTCGAAGAAAATTACTCAAATTCCAGCCGAGTTGGTTTCGTTTACTTACGAGTGAATAACTTTAGGAAAGGTATGACTTTGTCTCTTCTCCAACTATGCGTTAAATAGTATGGCAGACTAGTCTCTCTAGCCGTGATTGGTAATCACTCTAGGTTGTTGGTTGGTTGATTTTGTCTAGTGACATATCAACAACTATGGGTTTTTTAATGCGGAAATCTAAACATTGTGAACACAATTTTATGGCTTGAACTAAAGTATTTTGAACGACATTGTCTTCAACTACAAATGAAATGTAGTGTTGGTTATTTTGCTAGAAAATATATTGTTGCTCATTTTGCTAGAAGATGTATTGTTGGTCATTTTGCTAGAAAATGTATTGTTGTTCATTTTGCTAGAAAATGTATTGTTGCTCATTTTTGCTAGAAAAATGCATTGTTGGTCATTTTGCTAGAAAATGTATTGTTAGTCATTTTACTAGAAAATGTATTGTTGCTCACTTTGCTAGAAGATATATTGTTGCTCATTTTGTTAGAAAATGTATTGTGGGTCGTTTTGCTTTAAAATGTATTGTTGGTAATTTTACTATAAATATGTATTGTTGGTAGTTTATTTTTTATTTAAAAAGGTACTGCAGGGTACTTACATCGAGAACACATGGCGCAGTGGATAAAGGCGTTGACTAAATGCAGTGAGTTCATTACCAGGCTACAGTAGTGGTGAACCAGAACTTGGAGAATTGAATTAAAGGGAAATAAGGAAATGTAAGGGACTTCTAGGTGAGATTAGGGGTAGATTATAATGACCTCGCATCGAGAGGGTTGTATTTTTTTTTATTTTAAGAATGAAGCAACCAAATCGACTTGGGAACTACATCTAGATATTTCAGAATACCCTCAACCGTAAACCGTCAGGCTGGAATTGAGTTACCAGACTTGAAGTTATTTCTAACCGGGTTCCGCATGCAAGATTACTCGCCTATCGGTTACATTTGATTGTAATGCATGCGTCTTGTATATACTGATCAGATCGGGGGACCTGATGGGTTTATCGCGGTTCGTCATTTTATTGGCATGCTACTTTCTCATACAAGAACAACAACAATAATAATAATAATAATAATAATAATAATAATAAGATTAATATGAATTCATTAACCAAAACAAAACAAAAAGCAAAATTATTTACATTATTCGGACTATTGTCCTCATCTTTGTCGCCATATTTATCACAACGTTTCGGCCGTTGTACGCTCCGGCCTTCTTCAGGTGGTTGGAATATCGAACTGAACCCTTTATTTCGCTCACTGGGGTAGACTGTTCTAGTTCCACGTGCCGTGTTTGATGGATGCCAGTTATCAGTTAACTCCTGTTAATTTCCCTCTGAAAGTTCTCTACTGCCTTAACCGGGTATTGAACTCACACTCTTTGGGTCCTGTCACTGGATCTAACCAACGCCTTTATCCACTGTGCCATGTGTCCTTGAGGAAATAAAGGGTTCAGTTCGAAGATCTTTGTGGACCTTTCCTCTTAGATTTAGAAGAAACAGGGGGAAATGGGAATGATTTGACTCCTTGGAAGTAGCATGGTGTGTCCTAGATGTAAAGGTCTGAACTGGTAGAAATAAAGAGTGGAAATCGACTTAATCTTTTACATGTAAATAGCGATAATCCTTCGACGTCATGGTTGTGGGGAAGCGGCTGCAAATTGGAGGGTGATCTTGCCTCGGAAGAACGCATAAGGTCCGAAAGTGGAACGGCTGGATTGCACTGAGGGTGCAGTAGTCGAAATGCTGTCGGTATTGTAAAAAAAATAAGTATATCCGAATGTATTGCTAGTACGACAATGATTTGGTTGCTTGTTTTTTTTTAACAACATATCAAACTTTTTGAGTTATTTAATGCTGAAATCTAAATATTTTGTATTCAATTTTATTTCATTTTAGATACTAATGATTTTAGTGATACATGTATTACTAATTAACCCATAGATGTGGAGTGTATTCATACCTTTCCCGAGGGTATTTGTGCGTATGTGAATCTAATGAACTCAACTGGAATTGGAACTTCGCTCTCCGATTAACAATTCAGAACAATTATCAATTAAAGAATCTACACATCCAAGCTTACAGCGTCTAGAATTTCCAAGCGGTCACCCATCAAGGTACTAACTTAAATGATGTTGCTTAACTGCGGTAATCGTACGGGAAACGGCGTTTTAACATGATATGGCCGTAAGTCTGATATGACAATGAGATGGTGAGTTGAAAAACAAGTGCTATTAAGGTGATAGAAAAACTTCTCAAAAAATGTTACGTCATATTATCAACAACTTTACAACTAGGACATGCCATGCTACTTCCAAGGAGTCGAATTATTCTCATTTCCCCCTCGTTACGTCACGCTATAAACAATTATCAAGGTTGTTGTAGGTAAGGGTGATAGTAGGGAAAAGATCCCATTGTCTATAAAATGCTTCCGATACATGCATTTCAAATAGCCTCTGACAACTAAGTCTATATGTAAGACGGAGAATGGGCGAAGGCGGAAATCTGGCGCCTCATGACAAGCTACTTCGGGTAGATGAAGCTCGACAGCCCATGAAGACAGTCAGTTTAGGGTCAGGAAACCTGGGTTTTAAATCTCCGCTGCCTTGCGGTCATATCCAAAACACGGTAAAGGCTATGGAAGTAAATCCAGTGAGTAAAGCAGGAGTGGACCTCCGAAGGCGGTTGACTCTCAACATTTACAACCTTCCGGTAAATGCTGCCGCCAAGACGTCTCCAAATGTAATGCCTTGTATTCTTTTGGATCTTGTGGGGGGGGGGCATGTAGTCTGGGCAGCGCACGACCTCCATATACCATCACTCACGCCTACTCCCTGGAGAGCTCACCAGTTCCACCACCAAATGACTGAATTTTGTTCAAACCGGGCTTTACCTTTTTCTTTTGAGATAAACGGGTGCTCACTAATATCAATGTAAATTCTAGAATGTTCTATGTTGGGTTTTTTTGTTAACTTAAAAGAGTTCTGTTCAAAAGAGATTTATATCAGCAGATTTTTTAAAAAAAGTATTTTAATTTATTTCTACCTATGGAGTGTTTGATTTGGGTTTTTTTTTTAACGTCTTATCAACCTGTTGTGGGTGATTTAGAACAGGAACATATTTCGGGGCCGAGTAAATATGGCATTAATATTTTTTTTATTTGAGAATAGTAATGATTTTTCTAGATGCGTATTCTGTTATTTAACCCATAGCAGAGGGAGATGAGAGTGATGGATACGTTTTCCAAGAGTATTTTAAGTCTAACTGAATGTTACGAACTAGACCGGATTTGGAACTCGGTTCCTTTTTTTTTTTTTGCATTTACATACCCGCGTATCATGGTACACAGGGATCTGGAGTAAGAAAATAGTCAAGGCGTAACCTCTTCCAAGCTGGGCAGATTGCAAAGAGTTCTTACTTACTTTATGCCACATTTCCTTGCACTGATATGCTAAAGGCCGATATGCTAAAGGCCGATATGCTAAAGGCCGACCTTAACAAATCTGCGCAGGCGCGAGAAAGAGTCTCGTTTGTCGAATTCTAGGATCGCGGTCAGCTGATTAAACCTTTTTCAATTTTTATTTTTTCCATAACGATAAAGTTTGTTTTTCTTTTTATTTCATTTTTTTTTGTAACTACCACTGTTTGTTATAATAATGGTTGGTTGTTATGACATGATAAAAATAATGTTTAACATTTCATGAAAATTATTTTTAAATTTAAAAAAAAATATAAAAGAAGCAGAAAGTAACAAAGCAAAAAAGAAAAATATATTCCCTCTTATTATTGTTGCTTTTTATCACAAGAATCTGGCTCAATACACTCTTCATTATTACTGTTATGTTATTACCTAGCTCATATTTAGTTCATATTTGTCAGTATATTACTCTTTTGAAGTTATTTGATAGGTATCGTATATTCTGAACAATGACTTTTCTCATTTCAAACAAAAGGCATATAAACATTTTTTTTACTCTATTTCATAATCTGAAGAATCTTTGAAAGAAGATCAAATGCCATGAAAAAGAATCAATTCGTTTGTTTTCCACTTATTAAAAATTGCATAATCTCTGGTAACTTGCCAATCTTAATCTTAAAGATATTAATCTCAGATAAATGGGCTTTTTAGGAATTCTTTGAAATCAATAATAATGTTCTCGGTGTAAATATGCTTAAATTGCCTGGCTAATTCCTTTTCAAAATATTTTCTTCTACTATCGAAAAAGTACGTGTTGGAGGGAAGAATCTAGTTTGGGAATTTGATTTGTATTTGGGATTCCATTTAAAATTCAGAGCCGGGAATTGCTGCTTTCTTTTTCTAATACACACACACACACACACACACACACACACACACACACACACACACACACACACACACACACACACACACACACACACACACACGCACACACACACACACACACACACACACACACACACACACACACACACACACACACACACACACAAAGAATGACACACACATTAAAAGAGAAATTAAGTTACTCTCAAGGAAAATTCAAATTTCAAATTTTATCAAAATGTAAATCTCAGACCCGGATTCTTTCCAATATTTCGATTCCTGAAAGAATTACCATTTTCCAAAGTGAAGATACATAATTACAAATATGGTAAAATATGAAATAAAAAACGGTAAAATTCGTAACCGCATGTTATTCAAAGTATAGAACACATAAATACCAACCTAAAATAGTTTACAGGCTAATTTGCATTAAAAAAAAGAATTTTCAAGAACGTCGCTTATTCACTTTCGCTTATTAGAGACAGAATTGTATCACTTCATGTCCTCCATAGTTTGCCTGACTTTTCAGCTAACCTAATGAATATATATGAGCTTTGCTAAATTTAAGAATTTTGAAAGACCAATAACATGTTTGCTCTTGTAAATAAACGACAAAATATAATCCTTGCATTTGCTTTGATAAAGTCCCTCAGACAACGAAACGTGTCAGCTAACATGTTTTTCTTTTGTTTATATATATATATATATATATATATATATATATATATATATACATATATACATATATATATACATACATACATGTATATATATGGTAATTGTTCCGATGAACTGCTTTCACTGGTTCCCAGACTCCATGAATTCAAGCGCCTTACGAGGCTGGCATCCCGCTTCCACCCTTACACTGTAGAAACTTTTAAATGTAGCCGTCTCTTCTACTCCAATAGCTTCATACCTCGCACCTCTCGCCTGTGGAACACCCTTCCCAATTACTGTTTCCCTGACAGCTATAATCTCCAACTATTCAAATGTAATGTCAGTCGACATCTCCAGTTGCCTTGATCTACCCACTATCCCTCTCCTCATCCTTTCTTCTATCACTCCTATCTGCTCTTGCTGCAAATCTTCTGCAACCCCCTGCATCCTAGTGGCTTCACGCCTTGCTCAGGGCGTAATGCTTATATATATATATATATATATATATATATATATATATATATATATATATATATATATATTGTGTACTCAGGAAGCAATCCTTCATTTATGCATGTTTTTAATAAAGGCAACATACAAGGTAACGCGATTAAGCTTTTTATTTAATTTTTCTTGTGTTCCTTCAAGTGTTTCCATTTCTGGGCACAGAGTGTGTAGAAACTGTCAAAATGTTCTGTAATTCCAAGCACTTTCAGATATAATTTTAGCCGTTATCAAGGATGATTTTATTTTTGCTTTTTAAAAAGTTGGGTGTATGGGTTTTGTGTATGCTTCTAAAGTTATAGCGATGTTTTATTTTCCGAACACAGCACATTTTTTACATGTAGATGACGTTATTATGTTTATATTTTCTACTAGTATGATTTGGATGGAGTCAGGTAAGTTTGTGTGTGTGGGGGGGTGTTTAAATGAGATTCTAATAGAGCTGTGTTCGGAGAGCTGTAACGTAAGCCGTCTGGATAGGCATGTAGTAGTGTGACCGATGTAATTATTTATTTTGGTTTGATCAGAATCACAATTCCTTAAGGGGCATTTGAACTCGTAATGTTAGTTTGTTGTAATTTTGATTTTCTGGTGTGTTGTTATTTTTTGAGTATTAGGCTGTTTTATTTTTTTTTTCTAGTAGATAATTAATTTGACATTTTGTTCGGTTCATTTGGGCTAGTATATTTCTTTATGATATTTCTTGGTGAGAATCCATCTTGTTTGTAGTTAATGTGCATTTGTTTTTTGTAGAAAATATGTTATTTTTTACTATACTTTCACTATCGTTATTATCTACTTTGGAGAGAAATGGTCTTATTTGTTGGCCTATAAGGTGGTTAGGGAATCCATTGTTAACCGGTGCATTGTTGAGTTCTTTAAGGAAGAGCAGACGAGAGGATCAAGTTGAGTGTACTCTTTTTAGGAAGGTTTTTTTTATCACTGCTATTTTGTATCTGAGCGAGCATTTACTCTTAAAGTTAAGGTGGCAAGAGATTCTGCTCTTGGGTTTTTTTATACATGGAGGTGTTAAAAGTCTTGTTACTGTATTCTACGAGAAGGTCTAAGAATGTGAGATTATTTTTTGACTAAGTTCGTAGGTAAAGTTAAAGCCAGAGATTTTCAGATGTGTTCTTGACTGTCTATTTCTTTTGTTCTCTTCGTTAAAATAAACATATTTTCCATGTATCGGGTATATATTTAAGGTTTACAGACCTGTTTAAATGGGACATGTTTTCTACATGGGACATGTAATAATTAGAGAAGCACACGCCAAACAGATTTCCCATACTAACAGCATTAATTTGGGTGTAGTTGTTGCCATTATGGTCATAGAATGGGACTTTGGTTATGCAGGCATGTAATATTTTTTTAGGATATATGGTTTGATGGATGGCAGTGGGATAGAATTATTAGTGTTCTCGGAATTGAGGATAATGCCAATGGTTTGATCAACGGGGACGTTTGGGAATAAATTTTTCGCGTCGAGTGACGCTATGGTACCTTGGTTTACTGTCGTACTTTTTAGAATTTTGCAGTTACAGGATTTGAACAATTTTGCGGTTACCTCCAAAATATAAGATCTGATAAAGCAAATGAATTTAATTAATCTGAAACAATAAATCTATATAGTCTAAAAATTAATCTGAAAAAGTAAATCTATATAGTGTAAAAATTAATCTGAAAAAGTAAACCAATATAGTGTAAACCAATATAAATGTAAA